AAGGGAAAGAAACCAACACACAAATAAAAAGCTGTCTGTTTGTTCCCCCAGAGCAGAGGTGGAGGTTAGCAGCCACACACACACTCATTCCCAGCTTATTAGCATGTCTATGGAGCAGAGCTGCTGGCTCTAGGCTTGCAAGAGTGTTTTTCAACAAAATAAAATGCAGATTATTCCCCCCCTTCCAGTAAGTACTTGTGTGTTAGCTCCTGCTTCCCTTCCTGCCTTCCACCCCAGCAGTACACATGAGCTTCCATCCCTGGATGTTCAGCTCTTCCTGCTGTGTGCTAGTTACGCACTGTGGAGTAGCTGGGAGAGGGAGGGGTGGCAAAAGCTCTGCAGGGAGGGGGGAAACGGGAGGAAACAAACACCAGCAGCACCTCAGGATCTAAAAGCAGTGTTACTGGAGCAGAGAGGGGGAGTGAGTTCTCGCTCTGCTTTAGTCCTCTTTCCCCTTCTCCTGGGGACAGGGTGGAGTCCGCCATGGACACACTGGTCACTATAGCACTGTTTCCCTCCACCATCCACCAAGATGTGATGCTCTCCCATTAGCAGCAAAAAGTGCCAGGTGGGTCCACAGACTTCTTGGGGTGAGATGTGATTGCAGCAGGTATTGGAGATAATCCTGTGTTGTGGCTCTGAATAAGGGTATGGGCAGTGGTGAGTGTTCTGCCAGAAATTCAGGAGCCCATCTGTGGAAGTAGAACAGGAATATGCCTTTGCCAGCTGAGAGTGTGATAGGGATACATGGCATGTGATGTTTTATCCTTCAGGGTGAAGACAGGGGTCTTAAAGGAGCCCTTTGAATTAAATCCTCAAAGGTGAAAGGAATCAAGTCTTCCAGGGAAACAGGCACAGAGAAACAGGAATGACACAGGTTCATGAGGGGAAGTCATAACACAGCCCAAAACTGAGCTTCCAAAGCAAATCTTGCAGATCGGGGCACAAAGGTGAGACCAGAACTGAACTATGGCTACCTATGAACAGTTAGCAGCCAGCTTTAGTGCTGACAGTGTGGTGCTTCACAGGTGCTGCATTATTCCTAAGTGTTGGAAGCAGGTCCAGTGATAGACCCCACTGATGGGTCTGTTTATGTGGGCAGCTGCTCTTTCATAGCAAGCAGGGTCCTGCAGTGCTCACGTTAGGATTATAGTGCAACACATGATGGATGCAGTAGGCTCCTGATCTCTGCAGATGCTGCTCTTGCAGGCAAGAAGCCAGTCTCTCCCAGTGGCAATTGCTGTGAAATGAGAGCCCCAAGTTGCCAGGACTCTGGGCTCCATTTCAGCTGCAGACTTTTGCTTCTCTTAACTGTGTATGTGTTACTTAATCTCTGAGCTACTTGTGGAGTTGATACTGAGGAAGAATGTGGCCCCTAGCCTCTAATATCTCAGAAATACATGTCCTTAGGGGCTAGTAATCTTCAGTCCAGACTGTACAGCTTAGGCTAATTGCTGGCCAGTATTAGAGAAAAGCATTGACATGAGGTGGTGTTCACTACAACTTGTTCCATAGTCATTACTTCAGTGAACTTTTATGTGTCCTTTAATGGTTAAGTTGGATTTTCCTTCATCTGAGTCTTTGGTATTGGTAGGAAGTGTTTCTTGATACCCAGGTTAAATATTACTTATCCTAACCTTTCCCACCTTTACACTGGCCCTGAAAGGTTAGGATAGGAGTTGGCTGCTGAATTCAGTGCTGTGTCTCATCCTTTGAGATGGGTGTTTATGTCTGGGATACATCTGTGGGCTGGTACTAGAATGCACCAAAATGAGGCTAGAATTAGAAATCCCAGGAGCCTTCCCATCCCTCCCTTTTGGCAAGGGGCAGGACAGAAGAGAGAATGGGAATTCTAGAAGGCAGTTCTGATGAAATCCATCTCCCTTTCCTGGCCCTCTGCATGGAAGCAATCCCAGCAAAACAGTGATGCAGATGGTCTCGCCCCTGGAGCCAATGCCTATGTCAAGAGCCTTAGAAATGTGAGACCATACCACCAGTGCAGTTCAAACAGCACTGAACGTCTGCTGTCAACGCCGAGCAGAGTCCCCCACCCTCCTCTTCCTTGTTTTGTAGTTGCTGATGCCTTTCTTGTTTTGTTTCTTTCTAGTTTGTTTGTGGGTGTTTTGTTTTCTGTCTTTAAGCCTTCTTGGGGGCCTAAAGAAAGAGTGATGGGAAGACAATTGGTCCTACTTGGATGGCTTTGCTAATATAGAGATCCTGCTTTGAGATCACATCTAGAGGGGTATTTTCTAGGTATAGCTCAGTAGCTCTCAGCTCCTCCCTCCCCTACCACCTATGTTCTTTTACCTCCTTCCAGCATTAAATAAGAGTCTCAGTGGAAGTACTGAAGATTGGGTACTGTGGGACCCCAGCCAAGCCCCATGGATCACAGTCCAGCATCTGACTTGTACAGACACAACATACACATTGTGGTCTCTGCATGCTGTACCTGGGAGACAATCCCTTGTGCTCTCTCCACGCTTCTCCTTCCTTTCTGTGGGCAGCAGAGCCTCTGTGTTTATGGTCTTCCAACATCCACCCTATTATTTTGGCACAGGCACTGCTCTGTCTCTGCTGTGTCCTCAGCTCAAGCTCCCCTGCTGCAATGTTGCCATACTGTAAGTCTGTAAGTTTTAGCTCTTTTCTGAGCCTTCTCTTTTGGTAAAGTGAAAGCTTGACTACAGGTGTCACAGGCCAGGCTGTCCTTTCAGGTCCCAAGTGCAGAAGATGGGCAGAAATCTCAAATGAACATAATTTGTAGGCCACATATTACCTGAACTTCTAAGCTGGAAGCAGTGGCTGCTCTCCACTGGAGTGGTAGGTTTCCCAGCATCCCAGTGGTACTGTGGGCATATTTCAAGCCCTGTTGATTCATCAGAGCAGCCCTTCACGTTAGTCACCCAAACAGAGTTAAAAAGGCAGGGCAGATTTCATCTGGGGCTAGGAGGAAGGCATGTGTGTGTGAGGTCTGAATGTGGTACACGCTGCAGGGAAGGGAACTTTTGTCCATCCATCCCAAATAGTTGTGGGCTTCTTTGAGCGAACATTGTAAAGAGCCACGTGCTGAAAAAGCAGCCACTGAGCTTGTTTTGAGACTCATAGACTCATGGAATGGTTTGTGTTGAAAGGGACTTTAAAAGCTCATCTGGTTCCAGCCCCTGCCATGGACAGGGACCCCTTCCACTGGAGCAGCTTGCTCCAAGCCCCTGTGTCCAGCCTGGCCTTGAACACTGCCAGGGATGGGGCAGCCACAGCTTCTCTGGGCATCCTGTGCCAGTGCCTCAGCACCCTCACAGGGTGCTTCTGCCTAGGAGCTCAGCTCAGTCTCTTCTCTGGCAGGTTAAAGCCATTCTGGAAGAACATGTGTATATACTCCAAGACAATGCACAACAGAGGAACAGGTATTGAGAGGCTGCTGGTACTGCCTGCTTCAGGATGAATTAGTCGGACATTAAGAATTTATTGCCAGGTTTCAGTCTTTTTGCACCTTTTAGTTTTTCATTGCTTGCTTTTTTTGTTTCCCTTCTAGTCCTAATTTTGCCAGAGGACCCAACACAGACAGCTGACAGCCCTCACACTGCTTTGCTTTTTCTTCTGAAGTAATAAATGGCAGGTATCAAGCTAAATCAGCCTGTGTCTGTAAGAACTGAGAGCACTTGGAGAGGCAACAAGTCACTACATATTCAGAAAGAGAGTGAGAGAATTAATCAGATCAGCAAGCAACTATGAATCTAAAGGAAATATAACCATGATAAAATTCCTGATGCTGGAGCAGCATAGAGTTTAATCACTGGAGATTCTGAAAAGCTTGTGTATGTTCTGAGACATTTTTATTCTTTCAGTCATGTCTTTTGAGATAAAAAGTAATAAGCTAATGAAAATGTACCCAAGCGTGGCTGTGAGCAATAAGATGAAGGAATGGACATAAAAACCCACCAACAAACATATATACTATCCTTTGTCTAGTTCAGGCTGTACAGTCATGTTTCAGCTTCCTTAGCATCAGTGATATCAGTGGGAATCCAGGCTTTATTAGAGGTTTGGAATGTCCATTCGTTCATAAATCAGGATTTAAGTAAAACTGGAAGAGTCTAATTTTGCCCTTGTGCTGGCCAAAAGCTTGTGTGACAAGCAGAGGTGAAGCAGTGCTGGAAGTGAGGAGGAAAGAAAGCCTTGGTCTGGCCAAAGCTCCAAAGCCCATGTACCAGGGACAGTTTCAGAGAGAGGTGGCAGGTCCAATGGAGTCATGTCAGCAAACATGCACAGCAAATGAATGATGATAAAGAGTATGTACCTGTTTGCAGGAAGGGGCTGGAGGACCCTTATGCAGTAGTGCCTGCTGATTCAGAGTGAAGGAGGGATGTAGGAAGGGCATTTATTATTTAACTTGCTGGCTTTGGGGACACAGGGATGAAGCAGAGTTACTGAGCTTCAGGTGAGCTGCAGGCTGGAGCTTCTGGCTGTATTCAGTGTCATTGGGCCAACAGAGATGAAACTGGGAGTAGACCTGGCCCTTTGGTGGAATGATTGTGGTTTTCTCCAGCTACAGCTGTAGATCTTGGAAAAGGATGGGAATGCATGTGAGCAAAAGGCTTGAATGCACGGACATTGTAAGGCTTTATTTGAGAGGCTCCTGCTTTGAATTGCATGACTGGTGCTGTGCATCTATTATTTAGTTCTTCTTTCACATTTCCAAGTCCAACTGTAGGTGGGTCTCACCCATAAATTAAACATCTCAATAGAAACAAAGGGCTGCTCATAAATATCTTCACCTTAACCCATCTCCTTATCAAGAGTCTTGGAGGAAAAGAGGTGGGCTCTGTAGCATGAAGCAAAAAGACTTTCTCACTCATCCTTTAATAAGAGATGGTGCAAACAGAACATGGTTATGGCCTTAGTTCGGGTCTTTGTGCTGATAATCCTGCTTTTCTCTCACCTGTGGTGATGCCTCAAGCTCAATTCAGACCAGCTAGTCATTGGCTGTTGTTTCTCTCTTGCTCTAGGCTTGATCCCTCACTTCCTCTGCAAATGGATGTTCTTGCTGTGCCCACAAGTTGTCAAGGTTTGTGCTGCTGCCCAGCCTTGCATACTGGTGTGACTTCTGCTGAGACATTAAGAATGGCATGGCTCTTGAGAAAAGCAAGACCCACTGGACCCACAGCACAAATACTGAGATGGAATCCAGTGAACCTGAGGTGAGATGTGACTTGCCATTCAGGAAGGATTTAGGTGAGTTTGTAGACCTTTTCCTGGTCTGTGTGTGAATGCTGGAGGCTTTACAAGAGAATGAAGTGGGTACAGGGCACCTTTACATGCTCTGCCCACACATGCACAGCTACAGGGAATTGGCAGCAGTGAGTACGGGACCAATCTGTACCCTGTTGCAGAGATGCAGAATTGGTACCACTTGCAGTGGCAGCATTAGGAGAATTAGTGGAGTCATTCAGAGCCAAAAAACCAGCCCTTACTGTAGCAACACAAGTACTCTCAAGGAGGTGGTGTGAGTTTTTCACACTTGACTCTGCTGCTGCAGGGTGGGTGCAGCCAGAGCTCCATCACTCTCACTCTTCCTGCCACGAGAGCGCTCTTTCCATTTCCTGCCATAGTGGTGAGAACAGCTTCACATTGCTGCCTCCTCCCTTGCCCTTTCAAACTCCCTCTCCCCAGTTGAGTCTGCTTTTTGACATATAACGTGCCCTGAGGAGATGTGAAAGATAAAACACACTAAAGGGGTACTCCCCTTCCCACACACATGCTCACTGGGCAGGCAGCCCTTGGTGATCTCCGACATCTCATTCACAGAAGTGCTTGCTCTTGAAAAGAAATGCCTGGTGGTTAAAGTGGTTCCAGTAAAATACCTAGTGTGTAGGCAGCTCATTTCCATAATGCAGAGAAGCCTCAAGAAAAGAAATCTCTGGGGCTTGGTCTGCAGCAGAGAAATCACCCATCACTGACAGCAGGAAGGAGTGCTATGTTCAATGCTGGTTCAGGTTTGCTCAGTGCTGGTTTTGACCCTCGCCTGCGCTAAGGCTGCTGAATGTGGTGTAAATCACGTATGTCTGAACTCATATTGAACCTATTGGAACAAAGGTATTTTCCAGTGTGGAATGGGGAGGGGTACACGTGGGCACCCTGAGAGCTGATGTCATTATTGTGCTCTTCAGTAAGGGAACCACACTGTACCATTGCTGATAATTCCTGTCCCTTGGAAAACTCTTTTCCAGCTCAACATCTGGTTTTCCAAATGGCCCTGCAGTGCTAGGTTTTTTCTGAGTGCTTTCAAGCTTAGCTGGCTGACTTGTATCTGGAGGTGAAGTGACTTGTCCCATAGGTCCTGCAGCAAGTGAGCACTTTGATCCTTGTCCCGACAAATGAGAACAGTTTGAGGCACTTCTGCTGCCAGTGTTATGATCTGAGCTCCAGGCTTTGGAGGCAGAGTGTTTCCTGGATTACAGAGCTCTGTTTGCCAGAGATTGTGGGGAAAAATGTAGCTATTTGCATCAAATTTGACCTGATCTCAGGTCTGAAAGCAGAAAGGCTTACTCTCTAAAAGGTGTGAACTGTCCTGTCACTCCATTCATTCACCTCAGACCCTGCATCACTCCAGCATTGCATTTGACTGCAAGGTGTTTGTTTCCATGGGCCATGCACCCTGATGGCCCTCCTAGATTTGACAGGAGCTGCTGAATGCTTGACTCTTCCTAGAATCTGCAGCCCTTATGAATAGATGTGTCTCAGCTCAAGTGGAGTAACAGGTCCTTCCCAGGGCCTTTGAATAGCAAGGAATAAGTCTAGCTGGTTGCTCCTGCAGTATGCACACAACAGCATACAGGCTTGCAGGGCTGAGTAGGTATTTGTATTGCAGGAGTGGGCTTTTAAAGGTTGGCTGTCTTCACTGAAACTGGTACCCTCTGCTCTGTTACGGATGCCCCTATTGTTATAAAAGAGCCAGTAAGTGCAGGTGTCCTCTGTATCATCCTTTCCCATCATCCCATGGAAAACTTCTCACTTGAGTGGAAAGGAAAAAGCACTGCCTGACCACCTGCCAAGACTATCTTAATGCGTAAAACCTCCTTTTGTGGGCAGACAGGCTTGGATGAAGCAAAAAGTATTCCGACTATTACTCTTCTTTCCCTTGCAGCCCTTTCTAGCATCCAGCAAGGGGAGCTGAGAACCTGCTCCCTTTCCCCATCACTACTGCATCCAGGCTGTTCCCAAGTAAAGAAGGCAGCATCTCTGTATCAGTTTACAACTTGCAGGGGCTGGCTCCCATCCTGCTGCATTTGTGTCTCTGCTCTTGCTGTACTGGGATTCTGATGGAAAGCTCTTGGATGGGAGCCTGCACACCAAGAGGCTGATGTGGTAAACAGCTGCTGCAGGGCCATATTTCACATCCACACTTCGCTCTCAGACCACTTGGTCTCTCCCCTGTGCCTCAGGAAGGTTGCACTTTCCCCCTTATTGCTTCCAGTTCTTCCAGCATGGGAGAGTTCCCTTTCAGGAGATTCCCCCCGCCCTAGTTTTCAGAACTCTCTTATTCCCTCTTTTTTCTTCCCTTGGGTGGTGCCTTAAACACAGCAGTTAAGCTGAATATGCAGGCTCAGTCCATAGGGCTCTGCCTAGGAAACCGCCTGCTTGCAGCAGTTAACCTCCTCTCTCCCTCTGTCTTTCCTGGGAGAAGCCTTCACAGGGGACATAGAACAACAAAAGTATAGTCTTGTTTTCTGCTCTCTCCTCCCAGGAGCAGATGGAGGCTCAGGCACACTGCAGAAATATGTATTTTGTATTGCAGTCTCCATATAACTATTCAGAGGCTCTTTGTTCCCACATTAATCTGTGTGTTTTCCTTTGGCATCAGCCTTGCACCACTCATGAGCCCTGTATTCAGCTGACTCCCTCATCTTGTCCCACAGGGAACATACAGATCCCAAGGGCAGAATCCATGTGGTTCATGTACACTCTGTGCTCCCTCCTCTGCCTCCCCTGCAGGTGTCCGAGGAAGAAGCCTGACCTTCCTTTCTGTGCTCTGTGGGGAGTTCCAGGCCTCCTGCTCAATACTACATTGCCTTCAGCAAAGTTCTGCTATTAATTTCAGTAGGAGCAGGGCTAGGTTTTTGATACATGTGAGTCTAGGAGTCTGTGGAGGCTTCCATGGGGAGAATTTCTCTGTCCAAGTTGTGTTTTCCCATACCTATTCCTAGGCTCAAGTTTTGTGCTCTTCTCCCAGACATCTGTATTGAGGACAGAATCTCTGTCAGGCAGGGAAAGTGATGATACACCATTTTTGGTACTCTGCAAGGTTTCAAAGCCATCTACATTGCCTCTGTAGTGCCGAGAGGCAGATACTGATAAATTCCTATCTGAAATTCCATTTGTATTGGCTTCACTGTGGAGAAATGCAGTCTTGTCCTCCTCTGCTTCCTCAGCTACCATCACTCAAAGGAGAGAGCTGTTGTAGGCCTGAAATCTGCATAGCAGGTGATGCCAGTCACAAAGCACAGGGAAGAAGGGATTTAAGTTGTAAATGCTTCTAAAACCACGTTAAAAAAGAACACAGAAAACTGAAGCTAAAAATAATCCCCATATGAGCAGCACCACAGCTCCCAACTCCCCTTTTCTGGATGCCCTTTGGACTGGGAAGATAAAGCACCACGTTTAACTTCCTTCCTTTAGTGTTTTTGGCATTCAGCTTGGTGAGAACATTTGCCTCTGATCTTGGCTTTTACATTCTTTTTAATAACTTCCCATTCTGATTATCCTTTGATATCGATGCAGACAAGCACAAAAGCATTCACATAGAAGATCACCCTTCCATGCAGGCAGTGAGGCAAAAATGAGACTTTAACTGACTCTTGCTCTGCTTCATGCATGGGGTCCTTCCTGGCAGTGTGAGGATGGTAGGTAAAGAAAGAGTCATCACATAGAAAGATTCACACATAAATATAGTGGCAGCTGGAAGAATAAAGCCCAGGATTCCCAACTCCCCATTACCTGCCCTGTGGCAGGGATGAGATGTCAGAAAGGAGCTCTGATTTCCCTGGGGCCCTCTGGCTGATGGATACTGCGCATCCTTTTCACTACAGCACAGTGTAGCCCTGTCACCGTACACATGGGGTTCCAAAGCAGCTTGAAAAGAGTGGAAACTGTGGAGAGCAAAGCCCAAAACTAGGGAGAAAAAAAACAACCATAGGGGATTGCAGAGATTTTGCTTCTCCCCTTCCTTTCCCTACCATGCCTCAGTTAACAAAAAAAAAAATGGGAAAAACAAGGCTTTTCTGTCCCCCAGAGCAGTCAAACATCACAACATGCAGAGGCTCCAGTGTAGCCTTGTCTCCATGAGCCTTCCCTGGCCAAATGATGTGGCAGTGGATGCTGGGAGTGCACATATGCATGGGGAGGTGGGTAACGGGGACAGAGGTGCTGCTATGAGGCTTTTTTTTCCCATTTCTTGCCAACATAATCAGAATAACTCACTTGCACCTAATAAAATAAAAAGCAGAATCCCAAAGCCTTCCTTCCCTCCAGCGGTTTGTCTGGATCCCATCCCTTGAAGCTGAGCTGAGAAAGCAAGAGCAGGGTTTACTTTGGTTTTGGTGTGTTAATTTCTCTCGAATGAAGAATGCTACCAGTGAGGCAGAAGGTGCAGCATGTTTCTGGCACAGCTGGAAGCCAAGTGCTCCTAAAGCTGCTGACTTGATGGGACCAAAGTTAACGTCTGGGGTTTATTTGCCTTTTTCTTTCTTTCTTCCTTCCTTTCTCTCTCCCCTTTCCCCCCATGCTTTAAATATACATGTATGTTTTCCAAATTAGATCTGATATGCCTTTCCCTTGGTTCTGTTTCCAGGTAAGACTGCTCTCTATCACAGCTGTACAGCTCCAGAGTACTGGATAGTGAATGTGGGAAGTACCAGCAGTCCTTTACAATGTGCCAGCAATGACTAGAGATGATGAATCCAAAGGTGCTGAAAAATAAAAGCAAGCATAAAGGTAAGACATTCCAGATGATGTAGTGGCAATCCTATGTATTTGTTAACTCTTCTGCACGTATAAATGATAAGAAGACTGCTCCTGAGGACAACTGAAATGCAAAATGAATGACAGCACGTTGGTGACACAAAGCTGGGTTTGATCTTGGGTGATCTGAGCAGCACTGATTGCAAAATGATCAACTGAAAGTGTGAGTTTGTCAAAAATGGAAGGAGTTCACAGAAGCATGTTGATTTTTGGACACAATTTCAGGGAAGAACGCTGAAAGAAATCCCTTTGGACTTCTCAATTTTAGGTTTCTCCTTTGACCAGGATGTGCGGCACTGAATCAGGCTGTTACAGGGAGAGACACAGCCCTTATGTGAATGCAAGCACAGCTGTGACCACACCAGGGAATGCAGGAGCACCCCAACCCACCTTTATAGGCTGTGCTGTGGGGCACATTTACTCCTCTAGACAGACTCATGGGGCACGGGTGGAATGGTGAGCATAAAGCTGCAGCCAGGGAGATACTGGGTCCTCCAGGCACCCAACCATCCTGCTCCAGGAGTCTCTACTGAAGACACTGAGTGGTGCTCATATGCTCTTTAAGACAAAAAGATGCTGTATGATACGAAGGTAAAGGAATAATCTCCACATGCCTCCATGCATTTAAGGGCAGATAGACTAGGGAGGCAAAGGGGACTGTGACCCCTTAATTTCTTTCAGACCCTGGGTCACAGTGATGAGGGAGTTACTCCTGTCACTGTCAGGCTGCACCCAATCCTGACTTGAGCTCTCTACCAGTGTCCTGTCTATCCAGCAGGTACTGCTCAGTGTTTCTCAGCCTCAGTAAATCCTTTTTTATTAAAGCTGCAGAGGCTCATGACTTCCACACTGGTGCCTTCCCCAAGTTGAGTCCTTGGTGTTGGTCAGAGGATGCTGTTACATCTGTGCATGTCATTTACCCTGTAAACCCCAGTCTTTTAAAGAGGCAGGTGCAGAGTAAGTGGGAAAATTAAGAGCTCTGATGGACTCACAAAAAGCCACCTCTCGTTAGATCACTACAGTATATAACATCCTTCAGTGGAGCGGAGTTACCATCCAAACCTGTAATTTTCAAGTAATCACTGAGGTTTGAGTGTTGTCATGTTATTCCCAGCATTTGGAAAGGAGGCAGCAGAGAGTTTCTATTAATGCACAACCAAGAATGTTTTTCATCAATGGCATGTCCAAAAGCTGAAGCATCAGAGCCTGAGTTCATGGATCCCTGTCTCAACTGGTGGCACAAACAAGTAGCAAAAAAGGGAAAAGTGAGCATAAAACATTAGAGACACCACATGAGAGGCATAATACAGGCTGGGAGGAAAACACATCAGTGCTTACTTCTGCATATTGAGCTAGTATGTGTGAGTTATTATTAATAATTGCTCAGGTGCTGGTGGCAAGAGATTTCCTATGATACACATGCCTCCAGCTTAACTCCGTTCTCTTCACTGGTGTTTGGCTGAGGAGAAATTAGGTTGGGAACGAATTTGGTGAGAACAGCCCGTCCCAAAAGGCCTGCAGAGCTGAAAAGGCAGGGCAGGATGGACATAACAGTTTCAGGGTACAGAATAGTCTTGACCCCTCACAGTAAAACCTTTGGTACAGGAGTCAGATACTGATTCTATTTGTATGCACCATCTCCACACGTGACATTAAACTATCAGCTCAATTTTCAGTATTGAAAATAGGGAGCAGTTGTCACTTTACATTTAACTGTTGAAGCAGACACAGTTCATTGAAACCCAATTCTTCAACCGTTGCTAACACTCTGCACAAAACCCCTGTGCTCTGCATTATTTCAAAGTCAGATTGTTAAACAACTTAAACAGTTTTAAAGGAATAATAAAAAGAGATCAACAAATCAACTTTATCTCCTTAAACACTGGGGAAGAATGAATTTCCCTTAGTGCCTTCCATGATATCTGTTATCATGGAGGAGGGACTGTGCTGGCTTGCTGAAAAGAGGGAGGGAGGAAAATGCTATTGGGGAAGCTTTTGCTCCCTAAATGTATTTCCCTATCAAGTTATTTGCTGTGTTTCAGTGTAGGTACCCTTTGGAAAAGTTTTGCTGCAGGTACATCAGTTGAGTTCTGCCGCTGTTAACTACAGAGCACCAGAATACTCTGGTCTTTTCTGTATGCCACAAAGTGCATTCCAAGGGCCAAATACACGTTATTTCTTCCTCACTCCAGTGACATGAGCTCTCTACGGCTGGCAGCGCTGCAAACCCAAACCGGTGATGGCTTTGGCAAAAAGCTTTTCTGTTCGGTGGCAGAGGAAGCCCAAGCAGAAGTGGCTCTGCACGCTCAGCATGGCCATGGTACAGGTACGACTCTCCAGCGCCTGGAAGAGTGCCGGTGCCCCTGCCTTGGGCTGGCCACCCGGGCCTGTGACAATGGCCCCTCCAGGATCCCTGGAGGAGCGGGTGCATCCTGCTGCTGCCCGGCACCACCGCCTCACTCACCCCGGCGTGCGGCCCGGCGGGGGCTGCGCTCCGCACGGGGGCTGCGCGGGCAGAGCGGCGCCGTCCCCCCGCCGGGCAGGGGCAGCCCCGCGGGGCCCCACGCTGCCGGGACGCGCCCCCGGGCCGGGGCGGAGCCGCGCCACCGCCTCCGCGCTCCCCCCGCCGGGCTCAGCGGCGCGCCCCAGCGCTGCCCGCGGCCCGCAGCGCGCCGGCCCGGCGGCGGCCACCCGACACCCGCCGCTTCCAGGAAGCCGCCGCCTCCCCCCGGCCCCCGCCGCGCCGTCTGGGGCCGCCGCCGCCCCGCGGGCTGCCGGTGGGGGGGGGTGGTGTCGGGGCGGTTCGGCTGCTGGCAGCGCGCCCGTCGCCGCCGTGCCCTCGGCTGCCGGCCACCGCGGGGGGCCCTGCGGCTGTCCCCGCTCGGGGGGGTGTCCCCCCTTCCTCGGCCGCAGCCCGCCCGCACAGCAGCGCGGGGGAAGCAGCCCCGGCTGAGGCGCTTTGTGTGAACGAGCGGCTGCTGCCTGGGGGAGAGGGCTGTGGTCCTGGATGGAGAACCCCGCCCCGAGTTGAAGGCAGGGTATGGGCCTAGGGGGGAGAGGGAGCGGGGAGGGGCAGAGTAGGGCTCGTTCTGCTGCATTTCTGTGATGTAATTACACGAGATTTAAATGAGGCAGTGTTTCCTACTGAAAAATAATCACTATTGTAACCCCGAGCGGCACTGCTCTGGAGCGCCTGATCTGTATGCTTCAAATGTCAAGCCCAGTGCAGGAGCAGAGACTCAAAAAAATCTAATCATCAGCCTAAAAGAAAATCCTTTTAGAGGCAGAGTGTGTATGTGACTGGCTGTGGTGCTGAGAACCTGCCTCTCCCCTAGGAAAGAAAGCTCGTGGTGCTTCCAGGTGTCATTTCTCCCATCTACAGGATTTGTCCATTGTTCTTGCCTGGATCCATCACTAACTCTGTCTATAGAGTCCACAGCAAAGCTGTGAATGCACTTCCTCATGAGCCATATGAGGTGTTGGGCCTTTTGGCTCTGCTCCAGAGAAGGGGAACTGAAACATGCTCAGGGTAGCACCTGGGTCATTCATTCTGGTCACAAAAACGCTGATTTCATCACCCAGCAGCATCCCAGCAGGGCCTTGCACGCCATGGCTGCATGGAAGATGTGGATATTCCTGGTGTTGGTCCTCTTCCATTAAGCTCAGTGGTAAATTCCACTGGCAGTGGAATGAGATCTAAACAAATATTTTCTTTGGGTTTGGTTCTCTCTTACTTAATGTTTTATCTCGAACTGATGTAAGCAAGAGGAGAACTAGACTTCTAATTTATCTAATTCTTCTATTAAAGGTTTTTTGAATGATTGTGGCATTATTCAGCAAACATGCTGGTTTCTTGGAACAGATTGGGATAGCTCAAATGACTGTCAGGGGCTTTTCTTGATGTGCAAGCCTTTCTTTCTGCGTTCTTTACAGCAGGAGTAGGAGATAATGGGGCTGGAATGGCCTTGACTGTTCATGTTAGTTCTCTGTGTCAAGCAAGATAAAACTCCAGTTAATCCTGCCATAAATTTAGGTATTCCTAATCCTTCAGTATTCCCACTTTTTTTTTGGGGCAGTAGGCATGCAGTCAGTCCTGTGCCAAAAAAAGAATATTAAAGTTGGGATTGTAAGCAGCTATAAAAAAACTAAGGGGGGAAAATAGAGTACAAGCTGCCCAGTATTGCTCAAGTTGAGCTGGTTTTAACAGCTCTCCCCTCTAACCTGCCTGGCTCTGCAGTCCCTTAGTGCAGGAGAATGTGTGTGTGGGAGCCTGCAGAGATCTCTCCTGGGGCTGTTTACCCAGCTCAGTACTCCTAATGCCGTGGTGGAGTGGTGCTTTGCCCCCTCTTACTGCAGTGTCCATTAAAGGTTTCTATCTCTGCTCTTTGGAAGTATGATAGAATTAGACAACTACCCCCAGCTAATGCACAGGTTAGGGAGGAAGGGGGCTATGGCATTTGGAGTTAGTGTGTGGCTACAAGGAAGAGGGACCTGTTGAGAGCTGCTGTCTTACAAGCAGAGGCCTAGGTTTAAGATGGGCTGCTTCTTGTAAAGGTGTGCGTTATCCTTTCTTCCCTGTGCTCTGCAGTTCTCCAGCCGGAGCTGCTGTGGGGACAGGAACTGCTCCACAGTACAGGGAAATCTATAAGGGGAGCCAGGGCATGGAGTGGGGCAGGAGGAAGCAGGGCTCAGAGCAGCTACTCCAAAGTGAAGGAAGAACAAACACTGCTTTAGGGAGGGAAAACATGTGGAGGGTGGATGCTCCCACTGCTAATAGTGAGCATTCCTATCATCCTGCACAGCTCACTGTGGGCTGCTCCACGGCTGTTACACCCCTTTCCTGATGCCAGATCAGTAATTGCTGTTGTGTGATCCCTTGCAAAAGTAACACTTCTGCTTCCTTTCCCCTTCTTCCTAGCTTGTGTGGAGTTTGTTCTTTCCTCTCCTGCTTAGCCTGTGGCTTGTATTACTGGTATGTTTAAAGAAATGAGTTCATTTTCCTCTTTTAGGTTATATTTTCCTCTCCAGGAGTTATCAGTGTGATGTCTGTCCACTTTATGAGGTGCTGTGCTTCTTATCCAGTGTTTTGCTGGGGGAGTCTGTTATTCTTGCTGTGGCTTGAAAGGGTTGGGGTGTGTGTGTGTGTGTGTAAATTTTGTATTACTAAAGAGAAATGACAGAAGGAAACCAGCCTCAGCCTGTGAAAGCTCTCTGAACCTGGTAACTGGAATTGCTAAATGACCACTCCATTTAACACCAGGCTCAGGTTTACCACGGGGAAGAGTGAAAATCAGGCCAGCTCTCAATATAACAAATGGGGGTATTTTCAAGGCTTCACCCCCTTTGCTCAGGTGGCAGGGAACTGGCAGTTGGAAGAGGGGTATCGGCACCGTATGTGTGACTGCTGCACCCTCAGAGAAAGCCCGGTGACTGCAGTTGTCATGCTGTGTTAGCATGTGTTACATAGATACTGCTGCTGTCCCATGGGTGCATCAGAGCAGGACAGGATGCTCACAGGCAGGCTTTGCCTCACTATCCTTTTTCTGTAGGGTGGAACGATCCAGAGAAATGGACCTGTAGGGTTTTGGCTGCAGCTGTCCCAGGCAGAATCCAAGGTGCAGTGCAGCGTTCCAGCTCTGGGCTGGAGTGATAGTGAGCACCTCTCACTGCATGTGTCTAGATCATCAGGTCTGCCAGCTTGAGTATCATGTGTGGGCTCTCCCATCAGAACCATCCCTGTTCTGCTGGGATGCTGAGCCAACCTGAGGAACCTCCTGTGTGCACCACAAGCACAAAGACCTTGGCTTGGCCTTACCACCAAAGGCTGTTTACTCCCATTGGGAATGCTGTATGAACCATGCATTTGGTATGTCTTCCTGGATGATGTGGACGCTTTGCAAGCAAGCCAGGGGAGGCCACAGCCACACAGCTCCCAGTTTGTTTTTTCATAAGCACCAAAATAGATGATGGGGGGGCGGGGGGGGGGAATAGAAACAAACTGGCTGCTTTTGATTAGGAGCAGCCCTTCTTCAGCCTGCACTAAAAGCATTCACGTTTGCTTAACAGTACAAATAACTATGTAAAAGTGGATTCCTGGACCTGGATAAGAAGGCAGGACCTTTTGCATGCTCCCACATGTCCATTTCTGGTAGGGTCCATTTAGCATCTTGCTGGTATTCTCTGGAGGATGAAGCCTGGAGATATGTCTAGGGGTGAGTGCAGCGGTTCCTTTGTCACCAGGCAGTTCTGGATCAGGCCCACTGTGCAAGTTTTCCTGTTGTCTCCAGTCTGCAGGAGACTGCTCCTTTTGTGCTTGGGTGATGCTGAAATAAGATCATGGGATTCTCTCTGTAAATTCATGAATCAAAATGACCAACCAAACAATGGGTTTATGCCTTCATCCTCTGGCTGCACACTGATTTTCGCACTTGGCACCAAAGCATCTCTCTTCTTAGCAAACACTGGGTTATCTGCCATAAAAACAAGTGTCATCTGCAAGTTCTATCAAGAGCCTACAAATGTAGGGTTTACTGACTGTATTCCCAGTTTCTCTACCAACTCCCCATGGATCTCTGTGCACCTGTAGAGGGGGGACAGAGACATATCTATGTATGCCTTACAAGAATGAATAGTGTGATGCTTGACTCAGGAATGTCTGTGCTCTGAGATGCTCAGACGAAGGATGTAGCTGTGAAATGTTCTTACGGCTCTTAGCTAGCAGGGGGGAGAAATGGTTGTATGCTGCCTTGCTTTAAATGGGGCAGAATGTGAGGCACAGAGAGCTATGAAAACTCTTCAGATTGTTTCTCTTTTCTTTTCCCCCGCAGAGAACCTGGCCCTGTTTCTGCTGTCATGTTGTTGTGGAAGAGCAATTCAACTGGTGTCAGAGGATTTCCACTGACATAAATCTGGTGTAAGCAGGAGTATCATGGGGCTCCACACTGGACACTTTCCACTTTCCAAGGTGAACATGTAGCCTTCTGTTAAACAGACCTTGACAGGCCACTGCTTTGTCTTTGCCCTTAATGTTAATTTGATTATTTAACTGTATAAATATTGGAACTCTATTCCATAAAAGTGTCTTCCATAAATGCAAATGGAGGTGGGCATTAAAATAAGCCACAGATAAATATTTCTGAGAGACTTCTCTACTTGCCACTGAGAATCCCTTCCAGATTGGCAGTCATACATGTATCTTGTTATCCAAATAGATACATGTTGTTATCCAGGGGCTTTGCTGGTATTTATCATGATTGATGATGATAATGTTATGAATCGTTTTCACAGCATTTTGAAGTGTTGCAGACTTCCTTCAGAACAATCCAGCCCCTGCCCTGAGGAACCTTGCAGCAAAGGTATGTCTGATAAAGAATATTGGATTAGACTGAGATGTGAGTCCAGAAGGTCAGGTTTGCTCTTCTGCTTTCATCCAGCTCCTCCAGAGGCTCCCACAATAATAAATAGCAGTGATCACCTAACTAACCGTAAGGCATAATGGCAGCTTTCATCCAGGATCTTCAGAACTCTTAGAAAGGTGCATTTTGCCAACGGAGAACTGCAGCAGGGGGAGGAACAGCTTTACTTCTGCCAGGCAGAGTGGAACTTGCCAAAGGGGGGATACACAGGGAAGTGCGTAGCAAAAAACAGGATCAAATTCCCGCTTCTTGCAGCACTGTGCCTCAGTTTTGTGGATGGTTGTGGCACACAGTCACCAGACATCCTCCCCACAGTGTGCTTCTTGTCTGCCTTCTGTTTCTATGTGACCCAGAGCCCTGGGTACTCTGTCTGTTGGGTCTATCTTTATAGGTACTCCTAGAAGCGCAGACCTGGTGTAGGGGCTTTGTTCCTATGAGCAGGAGTGTTGTGTTCTCAGCACTTAGCGATAACCTTACACCTGATATTTGCATCATCAGAAGGGTTCTGAGTATGCTGTACAGTGATGGCAAATGCACAGCTCACACACACACATGCAACAACGTGAAACATTTACAAGATTAGAAGGAAATATTTAGTGCTGGTGCCCTTCTAGAGCATTCTGTTGGTTTTTAAAGAGATGTGAAGCAGCCTCTCTAATACAAATGTATTTACTGTAGGTTTTCCCTCCCCTTCATCGTTCCTGCCAAGAGAACTGGAGAGCTGTGGTCAGTGGCACCGCTGAAGGACATGTGGGCTGACAGACAGTAAGTTTGCTACAGCAAATACTGCAGTCTTATCCAACAGAGGCAAAACAAATCACGTGTTGTCAGTGGGATTGCAGGTCAAGCATGAAGTTTTGCCAGCTTCCCCAGGCTGAGCAGAAACAGAGATCCAGGCAGGGACTGGAGACAACAGAGGTGACTGACTGACTGCTGCCTGCTCAAAGCTGCCTGTTTAGTTATCTACTTATGTCTGGTTTTCTATACTTGCTGGGTGTTGTGTTTTAATGCACACAGTCCCCCAGTTTTATATCATCATTGTGAGGAGTTTCATTCTGGGCCAGCAGCAAAGCTCTTCCCATGGTGGTACATATCAGACACCATTTTTTCCCTTCTTACCAGTTTATTGCATCTATGATCCCAGCTCAGCTCAATGCAGATTTGAAACCCTTAACTTCTGCACAGTGATTTCATGCTGTCTGGGAGGAGCAAGAATAGAGAATACTGTTAATCCCTTCTTCCTCTTGGCCAAAGAAGAAGGGCAGGGTGAATGAAAATGTTGGTCTCAGCCAAAACCCTCTTGTCCCGCTTCATCTCTGTCCCTTCTCTTCTGCCCTGTTTCCTGCTCTCTGAGCTGTGCTGTAGTGTTGCTGGTGTCCTCACTCTTCTCTGCCACTGCTCTCTGGCTGGGACAAGGTGCTTGAGAGACTGGGGGCCCCGTACAACCAATAGAGAAGCCTGTGGAGTTGTCCCTCCTCTTTCCAGCTGTGAAGATGGCCTGAGGGACTTCTAATGACTTTCATTCATCCTGCACACAATCAGAGCAGCAAAAGCTCACAACACAGGAAAGAGAGGGAGAGAATTGGCAGGGGAAGAAAAGGATGGGAGGAGAGAGATGGGTTTCTCTCTTTATCCAAGAAGCTGGAAACTTCCCTGTTTGGGAAATTAAGACCCTCTGACCCATGGAGTCTGTTCCCTCCAGACAATTTGCAGATGTTCTGTCAGGCCTTGCTGCACCCGTTCTGTCGCTAGAAAGCCTTTGCATCCAGTTCTGTCAGGTTGGCTCTTTCCCAAAGACATTACATTCACATAAGCAATAAAAGCATTTTACAGTGCTAGAGCTGTTCATTCCTCAGGAAGTCCTAGAACTTCATGGGTGGAAGGCAGAGACTCTCCAGGAGATTTTAGTCAAGCCATTTGTTTCCAGAATCATCTGGGGCAAGAAAGCAGAATGTATGATCAGACTCATCTACAAGAGCAAGAGTTTGAAAACATACTGGGGAAATAAGAGGTTGAAGAGCAGGAGAGGAGCTTTGAATGGCCCCATTTCGAACTTGTATCTCCTTTTCTTCTCCCTGTGAGGGTCCTTGGCATTCAGGTCAAATGTGTGGAGAGCAGCTACTAATCGGTGCCAGGAAAAGAGATAATGCTTATGAGCAGGGTATGGGTAAGGATGGTTGGCTCTGCTCAGGGAGATGGATGTATCAGTGAATAACTAAGAACAGAACAACCTCTAAGTGTGTGTGTCTGGCAGCAGTGGGGTAAGAGAAAGGCATGTATTTGTAGACTGACCTTATTTGGCAGAATTCCTCCTGTCATCCATGGAGGAGAAGGGTGGGAGGCAGCTGCAGAGTTAAAGAACAGTGTGTACCTGGAAACCCAGCCCTCCATTTCACAAGGAAGCAGCCCCTTTTAGAGGTGCAAATGGAAACCCTAATTTGAGAGCTTTCTCATCTCCTGGCTGGGTGTTCTAGCACCCATTGGAGCCTGGGAGAGCTGTGTTAGATGTCCAAGGTGCAGGAGGCCCAGAAATGCTTCCCTCACTGCATGCTTGAGATACTGTGATTAAAAACACTCCCACAGAGAGCAAAGTAAAAACAACAGCCCAGGAACTCCTTGAAGAAAGATATTTATGTCCTAAGTTGTAAAACTAGACAAGCTCCCAAAGAAACAGCAGTACCAGAATTTAGCTGTTGGAACCCAAAGAGGCTTTGTTCTGATTTAATAATTAATGTGGAGCTAATTGAGGCTTTTACTGAAGCGAAACAGGATAAAAGAAACCCGCCAGTCTGGCCACCATGCCTCTGTGAGAGCAAGTTCATCCTGCTCCCTTAGGACCATCTTTCCTTTCCCCACAAAGGGGTCTGGAGCGTGACCACTTCTGCTGTTCCCTACCCAAAACACAGGCAGGGAAGATGCCACAGACACATCTAGGCACAGGGAAGGGGGAGCCATCAGAGAACCAGATCTGGTGGAGAATGGAGCTTTCCTCCTTCTCTCTCTCAGGTCATTATTTAACAGGGATTTTCCATGTGTGCCCTGACTTGGGAATTACTGAGCCATGCAGCAGTCACAAAGGATGTCTCCAAAAGGCAGCAAAATAGACACACAAGGGAGAAGCTGGCTCCGTGTTATCTTTAAGAAAGTAAATAATGGCAAGGGTTTATGGGTTACAGTTTAATGCTTTAGAAGTTGAGTCACACAGAATGTATCCAGAACAAAATGGTTTTTAACCCTCTGGAGTATGTGCAGCATGAATAAATACTACTCAGGTTTGTTGGGAAACATGGGAAGTTGTAGTGTTAGGGTTTTAGTTACCAGATGATGGAAAGATCCAAGAATATTCCAGGTTAAGGCATTGCTGCTGGGTTGAAGCCTTGTTGCTATAGCTGGGAGTGGGATTCTACTAGAACTGTCCATTTTCCCATTCAGTGACTGCTCTTCAGCACCTGCCTCTGAGGTGGATCTTAGGTTTTCCCTTTATTATCCCAGGTTCACTGAACACAATGAGTGAAAACTGCCTGGAGCATAAGAAACGTGCAAACCAAAGCTCCGCTACATTGCTGACACTCAATGGATCATCAGCAGTGAGGTATGTCACACTACTGCTGCATTTTGAGATTCAGACTCTCTTTGGAAATGGGAATGCTGGAACATTGGGTCTTCTGCCCTCCAGATGAGTGGGGTGACATAAAAGATTACTAAGCTTGCAGAAAGTGCTTTTTCACCACCTCTAAGCCCACACATCTCTATCTGTAACCCTGAAAACCACATGAGATGTCATCTCCAATGTACATGTTGCACTCTAGCCCTCCCTGTTGTCTGTGTGCTGGAGACAGTTACTGACCACCTTAAACCTTGACCAGCTCTCCTCTGTGTCTGAATATACCTTTTAGTGAATTCAGTGTATCACATATCTCCTACAAAGCACTAACTGCATGCACATTCAGCAGTCTGCTGCACTCTCCTTTTCTGCTCCACAGGAACTGGAAGGAGTTAGGGAATGCTGCCAAAGATGGAATTGGCACAGAGAAGCACAATGGTAAACTGCTGGTAGTGCATACACTACAGATGTTGGGTTGGATCTGGTAGGATACAGGGCATACACAGTCTGTTATGGAATGGATAAAACTGCACAGGTAGGTAATGTACTATCTGAAAACTGCTTTTATACTCTGAAGAGATTAGTGTCTGTCGTTTGGGCTTTTACTTTCAAGTCTAATAGCTGGAGATTTAATCCCTTATTCAAAGAAGTAATTACTGTTCATATAAATAGGTCTGTTGGAGTCAGGGAGCTGAGGGAGGGATAATCAGTTTTACCAATCCAAGTCTCTACAGTATTGCCCAATGAGTGATGTAGCATTTAGTGCATGTAGCAGTGATGGAGTATATTTTCAACGGTGATCTGTGGAAACAGTCAGATTTGGGTGCTGACTGAGGCCATGGCCCTTCCAGGGTTCCATCTACATGTGGTACATGTCTCTGCATCAGTGACGGGTTGGATGGCAGGACACGGTTCTTCCTGAAATCAGTATCGTGCAGGCTGAGCCTGCTTTGGAGCGGGGATCTCAGTCTCCAAACCCCGCAGGTAGTTGCCATCCAACAGGCTTTTGATGAAGGAGTCTGGAGCTGTAGTTTTGCCCGCTAAATAGAAGCATGCATCAGGTTTCTGATCCCTTCATCTTTAACCGTTAAATACATTAGGTGGGATTTCTGTGGCTTGAAACAAGTGAGATTTGTAGGATTTCAGAATCTGTTGTTTCTTTACTGCCTGTACCAGCTGGCAGCTGGGGCTGAGGGGGATCCTACAGCACTCACACCCTCATCAGAGCATCCCTGGCAGCGGTGCTGGGGTTGTCATGCCAGGCCAGGAAGCAGAATGTGCAGCAGCAGAGCTGTGATATTTTTTCCTTCCTCTCTCCCACCTCCATGTGGGGAACTCCGTCAGCCATCAAGTGAAATCACTGCAGCACACAGCACATCTCCGAAGGTGGGAAAGGGGGTGCTGGGCACATCCCTATTTATTACAGAGGGGTAAAGCGTAGGATGCAGGTGGGGTTCAAAGAAAAGAAAGGGATGTGGGATGAGGATCTTGTGGTGGTCATTGTTGCCAAAGAAACCAGTTGAAGGGAGAAAAATAGTTGGACTTCTGTCATATTATTATTTACATGCAGTCACATAGTACGCAGAAGTCCACAACATCACAGGTTAGAACCACACCATAACACATTGAACTCTTCCTCCTCTGTGACCCTGAAAGTCTTGGGATTGTGTTTTCACTCCTGGTTTTAGTTTTGCTTTTGTTGTTGTTGATGGTTTGGTTTTTACTGTTGTCACTTCATCCGGAGAGTTCTTGATGCTGCATTTGGGTGACATCTTGAACTGCAGTTGGTGCTGCTTTAGCTTTGTTGCCATTTCAGATAATGAACTGCTCCAGTTCTGTTCCCAGTGTTCCGACTGCTGCAGGAATGGAGTCATGCCAATAGTGGTAGGTTTGGAAAATCATTTGCAACTGTGTGCCAAGCCCCTGGAGGAGCTGCCATTTAGAAACACAGAAATGAGAAGAGAAGAATAGGTCCAGTGATCAGTTCCTAACTGTTCATTGTATGACCCCAGGCAACTAATTTGATTTCTTTGTGCCACAGTTTATTGATCAGAAAAATAGGGATAATATCTATTTATGTGTTGCAATAGGTTGGGAAATCTAATAAATGGTTGGCAATAAGCTTTTGATCCTGTCAGAGTAACAGAGAACAGCAAAAGACTGTATTATTTACAAATTTGTGTTTCATTTCTCATGTAATTGGCATTGTTATGGTGCTATTTGGAATTAAGCTGATGCTAAATAGTTTACTGAAGCAGAATTCAACAGGCTCTTGATCCTAGTGTGTGGGAGATTCTGATGTGACTCAAGCTCTCCTTCACTTGCTTAGGCAGTTGAATTAAGTCTTGCTGGGTGTGCAGCCCCAGACAGATCACACTCTACAGCCTCAGTGGCTCAGACTTACCTGTTCTCCATAGTTACCATCCTCCTCTGCTTTAGGCACAGTAGATACAGCCCTGGAGCACACATAGGTTCACCACGTGGCCTCTGACTGCATCCTCTGTCTTTCTGTAGGTGATTCTGTGCTTTTGGCTTAGTTACAGAAAGGCATTGATTGTGCTGTGTTTTTATATGAAAACTGGTCCATAAACAAGCTAAATCACAGCCCCAGCTGGAGTTCAAGCTGTGGAAGCAAGCAGCACTGGAAAAGAGCCTTGTTTAGGGAGATAGATTGAAATGAGCCATGTCCTCATACCAGTATATGTATCTGTGTGGCTGTGCTTACCTCTATCTGTACATGTGTGTATGTTAGAAAGACAGAAATCTAATAGTCACGGAGTAGCCATACAAAGCTTCAGGGAAGAAGTAAACAGAAATGACAAGGAAAATAATTCCTTCCCTAAAGAGAAAACAAGAAGAAACCTAAAACCAGAATATAGAGGACATACATGGCTCCCAAGGCTGTCTGGGGTCTTGGTCTGCTATTCCCCTAGAACACCAAACTGGATGAGGAGAGCAGATCCTAGATGAAGTCTCCTTCTCAGTGTCCCCACAGACCTTGTGAAGGGCCCAGAGGGCACATGTGCATCAAAGAGAAACAGTCAGAATCACACTGTTCAGAGGGGGAGAACTAAATTCAATCCCAAAAGGGGGTTGATACCTATAATTAAAAATATAATAATTAAAAGAATCTTCTGCCCACTGGAAAGTCCTTTGCCTCTCTGTAGGAGAGAGGAGACAGGGAACTGAGCAGTGTAGAATGGAAGAGCAAACTGTAACCCAGTGAATTAGTCTTAACTATAGCGAAAACAGCACTTGTGTAAATGAGGCCCCTAAGGGCCGATAACTAAGCAGTAAAATGTTACAGGAGGGAAGTAAGTCAGGGCTATAAACCTGGGAAGTCAGGACTGGGTAGCCAGGATCTGGAGCATAAAACAGGCGAGATTAAAGGATGACAGATGAGTGCTGGGAAGGATGCATGAATCCTTCTCGGAATAAGGATTCTAACTCCTGTGGCCTAAAGACAGGCTTATTCCTCTGAGTACGCTGGGTACCAGAAAATGACTGAGATGCCCACTGAGAACTTGTGAGGAGAGTAAAAGAGTGAGGAATGGCTGATAAATAAAATAAGGAAATATAATCAAATCAGCATTGAGTGTATTTGATTTAAGAGGACACCAGTGAATAGAGAAGGGGAAGAAAGCGGCAGGGTGAGAGTTGCTGTTGGATAGGACTGTGGCTTGAGTGAGATATAGTGCAAGCCCTAAATTACAATCATCATTATTTTTTGGCTGGGCTGTGCTGTGACATCAATACCAATTTACACTCTGGGTGAGTAGCACTTACTACCTTCTTGTCTTCATAAATTGTGCATTGTCCTTATTTATTTGCTTCCGTGTCCCCTTCCTCTCCTCCTGCATTGCCTCTCTCCTGCTTTTTATAAGCATGATGGGGCCATTGTACCCTTGCTATGTCCTCGATGAGTTTGGCATTTAACCCCACTTATGGATCCCCAGCTCCACTCTCTTTCCTGCTAGACGGGAATGTTCAACCTGTATTCTGTCTCATGGGGAGGACGGTGTGTACAAAAGGAGGCAAGGTTGGCATTACTCTTGATAGACCTGTGAGCAAGTGATGCTTTTATTATCATGCAGCTGGTAATTCCATGATATACATCCAAGCAGCAGTGCCTGGAAGCAGGTCTGCTGTTTCTGATACATCCACAGGACAGAGCTACTGAATCCTTTCACTGTGTGGACTAAATTCTAATAGAGAAATCATTCTGCAGGTCACCTCCCTTCCCAGGACCAACATTTGATACCTGTTGTAATGTTAAAAAGACAGAGTGTCTGTTGCTTTCCTTGGAGCATAATATAGCAGCTGAGGGCAAACACCAAACATCATCACGCTGACCACATTATTGTAACTACAAGATGTATCTTTCTGCTGTTCCAAAAGAGCAGAGCTGGAGAGTTAGAACCCTTCTGATTTGATTTTCTTCCCTGTAATTCTGTGTTGGAGTTCTCATCCTGCAGAAAACAGCATTGAGGAAGGAGGGGTGGGAGAAGCATGAGAAGACAACAAAATCAAGCATATTCCAAATAAAAGGTCAGGCTTGAACTGGAAACTTTAAGGATCTTTTACCAAAGACTTGGGAAATTATCTGAATCGCCAACAAACTGAAGAGCTTGACTGTGGGCCTTCAGAACACTCCATCCCAGCTGAATGAAGAGGTGCTCCTACGGGTAGAGTTCTCAGAGACAGGTAATGTGTCTGGTGTCACCATCCCCTTTCTCAATGGATTAAAAGATTTTCTTACTTGCCTTTTGGCATAAACAATTAAACCCATCCATCTTGAGGGGGGAAGAAGATGAAGTTTAGTTGCGCTTCCTTGGAGGTGGAGGACTTTTGCTCAGCAGATCAGTTTGGGGAGTAAAGTTGGAGGTGTGGCAGTCGTCTGTGCTTTGTCTCTGCTCCCTGTACTCTCTTTCTTCCCTCTGTCGTGTTGGAAAGAGCAGTCAGCTCCTTTATTCCCCCCTCCCTGTCTGTAGCCTGCTGCCTTCTGCACGGAATTGGCATATAGGCATTCTCCTAGGACAGCAGCTCTGTGTGGTACCCAGGCTGTGAGGTCGTGGCCTAGCATAGTACATGAGGAGACAGTGGGTTAGAATCTGCTTAACCCTGTACAGGTGCATAGGGAAGAAGATGGATACAAGGAAGGCTTTTTTCTGCTGCATGTATGCAGGGGCAGGGAGGAGGCACCATCTCTTGACACTCCTTTTACACACTGCATGGTGCTGTGGGAATCTACTCCAGACTAGAATGGAGTCTTGCCCCAGGCACAGTGCCTTGGGGGAGCAGCTGCCAGCATTGAGTCCTTCTTTACCTTCCCTTCCCCCCTCTCCCCCTAAGCAGAGAACTTGCAACTGCAGCTTTTCCTCCAGTGTAATAATGCAAACTAATTGCCTGGCTGCAGCAAAGCAAGCTGAATCACCTGCCAAAGCCATAGAGCAGCTCCTTCATCTCCATTTGCTGCCTGCACAAAGGCAAAGCAGGAATTCAAATCCTGGGGAGCACTCGCACCCTCCTGGGCTGCAGCTGGATGATGGGAATGTTTGGAACTTCACTGCTGTGGCTGGTTTGATTTGGGTGCAGCAGGAGGTGTAGGCATCCCTGGTGCCCCGTGCGCAGTAACATGCACTGCTTTAATACATATTCTGGGTTAAAACTGCCATGTTAGGTTTTCCTGCAGGGAAAGCTCTGGAACTAGTCTTGGTGACAAGGGAATCTCTTAGATGACATGAGAGCAGTGTCAGTTCAGTTCTTACTGATGCCAAACAGGAAGCAATAACATGGTAAGAGGTGGTGGTTTGGTGGACAAGTAGATAGCCCCTCCACTAAAAAGACACAACTCCAGCAGCATTAACTTTCAAGTCTGAATTTTCCAAGAAGGAATGATGACCAGATGAAATATGGAATGAGCTCACTGTGTTAAAGGACAGCAACCCTTAATTGTTGCTTGTCTGCATCAAGAGCTTACCAGATTGTTTCATTTCATTAGTATTACAGAAAAATCACTCTCCCAATTTCATTTCTAAATCTCAGTCCACCTAACACTTCTGTGCATGAATGGCCCCATTGTGCTCACTCCCATCAGTAGTTAGCTCTTAGCTGGATTAAGTCATTAGGCACTGATCCTGCTGGCAGTGTGTTATGGGTATCTTTACTCCGGGATTAGCTGAACTGAGCTTTGTGGACTCGTCTGGGTGAAGCTGTTGGTAAACAAGTGTTTGCTACACTTGAGGTATTAATTCATGTACTTATTAATTTCTGTAATACTGAACATTTTGGCTATTGAATTAGATAAGGAACATCTCAGAGGAGTAACTTTACTGGTGCATATTTCATTGCAGATTTTTTGGATGTGAAAGATGCCTTAAACTAAACTGTGTTAAGTCATTCTCTATGGCTAAAAGTATCTAAGGACATTTAACTTACAATATGCAGCTGAGGTCTGGTTATTCATCATACAGAAGAAGCATCTAAATCTTGAATGTAGTTATGTCAGGATGGGCACAAAGTCCCAAGCCTTTCCCTTTCTTTGGTGTATTAAGCACTGTCTGCTGCAGGAGGCAGGATGAATGCTGAGCTCCCTGGAGCAGTGATGTGATCTAGGGGCAGATCTCCCGTCCTTCTACAAGTAGTAAAGCACAACCCTCAGACAAATGATGAACACCCGATAATTTGTGCTTCTAATAGAAATGCCAACAGCATTTAGCTCCTTGGTATTGTGGCAAACCAGGATCAACCAGCTCCCATTCACCAGACCTGGTTGTGGCTTCTGTGGTGCAGTCAGCCTGGATCAGGGCACAGGCATTTTTGCTGGGTCCATGCTTGACTCACCCGAAGCAGTTCATTCACATGGGCTTCTCACGACCCAGGAGGCACCATGACCTCACACAGCACTCCTGGGCTTGATGGCCAAGGTTACACTTGGGCCTGTGAACAGGTCCATGTCATCAACACCTTGCTCTGGAGGCTGAAGCATTCTGCTAAGCCCCAGGTCTAATAGATCAGCTTCTCCCTCCTGCCCTCCTCGTGACCCCAGCCTGATCTGGAGCAGCCACTCCTCCTGAAGGTCACAGATAATCCATGTGGTGTCGTGCTGTGTCATTCACCATGAGGGACTGAGCTGCTCTGATGGATGGGGAGGGGTCAGTTCGAGCACTAACCCGAGGAACAAATTTGTGGGGCCACCACTGTCATATTATTTCAGGTTTGCACAGAGCCCTCCAGGCTTTCTGCCTCAAGAATGAGCAGCTTGTCCCTGAAAGGAACTTAGCTTTTTCCTCAAGGTTTCCCCCCTGATTCTAGGATAAGAAAGTGAGAAGCATTTGCACAAAGTGTAGCCCATCTCATTGAGAAGAAGCCTTAAATGTTGTCTTCCAAGGGTTTATCGTGTGGTGCTAAAACCTGCTGAAATCTGGCATTCAAAACTCATCCGGGAGCAACTGTTTTCTTTCCATCTCTCCTACTTAAAGAGAGCTGATTTTCTCACATCATCTTGGGCCTCTTCTGGTCCACACTCTCCCCTCCACACCCCCCCAAGTTACAGTTCCTGGTAGAGTTTCTCAGTGAACAATTGTTCATGAGGGTTCTGAGCTCTGCCATTTTTAATCCCAATGGGAGCTGCATCCCAGCATTTTTCTGGAATTAAAAAGATCAGTAACAATTTTCTTCAAGTGTTTTTACCTTTAAGGCAATTCATTTCCATTTTAGATCAGGAATAAACCTTTTATACTTAAGGGTTTTGCTCTACTGACTCTATCAATGTAATTGCAGCCATGTAACTTCACTAAGATAAAGCACATATGATGGTACGACTGTATCCGTTTAAGGGTGGTACTGGTAGGATGCTTCCAATGAAACCAAGTTCTGCTCTTCTCTCTCTCCCAGAATAGGATATTGGTGTGCTAAAAAAATGAATGAAGACTTTAACCCAAGTTGTCACCTTCTGGTTTTTAGTGTTCCTGAGCTGGGGCAGCAAGTGCTGGCACAGAAGAGGGTTGTGTTCCCAGGGCCAATGTGCAGTGAGGGTACCTAGCAGAGGCCTGGGTTTGGGAATACTCTGCTGCTTTTAGGGCCCCCTCTGGGTAAGCTGTGGGCTGGACTGAGGAGCAGCATCCTACCCATTATGTAGTGCTGTTTTCCAGTCTTCCTCAGCATCTTGCCCCAGGAAAATGCTAACAGCATGCTATCAGTGAGAGAGGAATCTGCTCCAGAGTGCTGAATGTGGCCCTTTGTACTCAGCAGGCAATTCCATTATGAGGTGTGAAATTCGCTGCCCCTTCTGAAGCAAAGTTTTTACTGAAGTCACTGAGAGTTTTGCCAGGGACTCCCTCTCCCTCCTGGCCTTGCCTTCCGCAGTGGTTATGACTGACATCCTCCATGCTTATCTCACTGCTGCTCTTCATTCACCCCTTCTGGCAGGGCCAGAAGAACTGGGATGCACTCAGGTAAAACTACCTCAGATTCTGCTGCCAAGTTTGCCTTGTCTCAGGGCTGGAGGCATAAACACCAGGTCCATTTCTCAAGGTCCCATAGTTCCAAAACAGCTTAAATTTTAATAACAAGATATTGCAGGTATATGGATTAACCCCCCCCTTAGCTGTTGAGGAGAAAGAAACATAATTTAAATGGCAGATAATTTTGCCATTTGAAAATTAGCTGCTCTGTATCTGAAGTAACCCTTATTTTTGTGGTTGTTGGCATGGAAACGAGTACAGCCTGTGAGTCCTCCTCCAGCCACCTTTGTAACTTCAGTAGAAGTCAGTGGCGACCTGTGGAAGGGCTCTGCAGCTCTGAAAATCAGATTCAAATATCTCACTTTATCCTCAGAGCACATCTGATGGTTGAACATTAGCTTCATTCTGAAGGTAGTGACTTGGGAACAGTTTGAAGTCAAGATGAATACTGAGAGTCCAGATTAAGGATTTAGGGCATAACAGCTCCTTCCACACCATCTGGTTCCCCTTTACTGCCTGACCGTGAGCTCTGATGCCTTCCTGAGGCTGAGTGGACACAACTCCACTCTCATAGTGTCATACCCTCAGTGCTAGAGGTGGAAGCTGCTTGTAACATACTGCTTCTTACCCTGATCCTTGTAGTATCAAGTAGAAGGGGACTTTGCTAGCCATGGTAAGTTTGGTCTCCTTTTGAGGACTGAGTTAGGCTGACTCTAGTCAGATAAAGGGAAAAAATCTCAATATATGACTTGATATGGAGCAAAGCACCATCATTTGGTGGTGGTACAGGTCAAAGCACCATCAGTTTGTGGTGAGAAGTGACGGTGCTTTACAGAAATGTTGTGGCTCGAGATACAGTTGTGTCTTTCCCATCCCCAAATCATTTCCAGGAAGGCAAAATTGAAAGTGGGACCATGATGATAAATGAGGGAGATTTTTAACTGTCTTCTTGTAATACAAAAGCCCTTCCTCCTATACAGGGAATATTTTGTAACTGAAAATGAAGCCAGAAGGAGAACACCTTCGAAACCTGTCAGGTCAGACAAGGTGGTGATTAAAGCACACTGGGAATCCTATTTTAAACTGGCTTTTGTGGGATTGCATCAGATCTGCTGATGAAGAGAAATGCTGACAGAGGGAAAAAGGAACATGCATAGAGGAGACAACTTCCAGCATCCTCCTTGCTTTCCCCAGAAGCAAAAGCATGTCCTTGAGGGAAACAAAGAGTTAGATGCTTGC